GGCCCCGCGGCTTCATTACAGTGGCTTACTCGACTCTCTCTGTGTTTTTTGTTCTCTGTGTCGAGGGCTGGTTATCCTTTGTTGTCGTATTGGTGCCTGTGTTCCCGCCAATATTATTCACCCTCTCCGGTTTTTGGGCCTTGTAATGTGAGTTAACTCCGGAATGCTCTGTTTGCTTCTTTTCTGCTTTTGTTGTCTCTTCTCTGGCTCCATCTTTTTGTGTTTTTTGTATTCATGTACCCGCGCCGGCCTCCTTCATGTTGTTTTTCTCTCTCTTTCTCTGCCTGTCTTGTTGTCTTTTGCTGGCCCTGCTATCTGGGTTTCTTTTTTTATCCTGTCATTAGCATGCGCGATTTTTCTTGTGTTTGCGCCTTTCTTTATTAGGTCTGGCGACTGTTTTTTGTATGGTGCTTCACGTGTGAAACACCGTTGCTGGGAGAAAGGAAGGGGGCCTCTTTTTCCGGGTTTGCAGCGCCAGCAAGCTGGTGGCCCGCGCTGCGCTCCGCGTTCCGGCCGGCGCGATGGTCAGGAAACGCTGCGCGGGGACACGGCAGGCTCCCGTCCCCGGAAAGGACGCGTCCCGCTCCCCGGCAGGTCACAGCCTCTGGGCCCTTCAGGGTCGCTTTTCTGGTGCGTGATTGGCAAAAGCCGGCGAGCCCATTCGCAGGTGTGCAGAGATGTTTGAGAACCGCAGGGGCCAAAGGGGACGTGGGGAAGCACCGTGCAGTCGGCCCGCGGCAGAGGGGCTCAAGTGGGACGTGGCCAAACAATAGTGCGCCCTGCTCCGCACCCGGCGTTGGTCCAACTCTCTTGACACTGGAAGCGTCGGGAGGCGGGTTTCCCCGGCCCGCGCAGCCCGGAGCGACGCGTCCGAAACCCGCCCTCTATCCGGTTCCAGCTGAAGGTCGTGAAACCTGAGCACACGTTCCAAGGCCGCGAGCTGAGGGACAGCTTACGTACCAAGCAAGGCCGGTGGGCCCCCCCAGCAGGCCAGTTCCAGTGTACAAGCGGAAACGGAGCGAGGAAACTCGGGGAAGACTCTGAGTCTCTAGGAAATAGCGATTAGGGCACGGGCAAACAGGCAGTCAGGGGCGTTCCTGGGCGATTTGCTGGGGCGCGGGCCCAGACGTGGGGGCCATCTGGGCACTGGACTGGCGACTTTGTCCCCAGCACCCCGAGCTGGAACCGGTGCTTGGGCCGGGGCATGGGACGGAGCAGAGATTCAGTTGAGCGGCTGTGTTGTGCTCCCACAGCGCTCGGGAAGATTCCTGGAGTGGACCCGGGAACCCCCACGGGAGTAAGGGGGCGACGCAGAACCTGACTATGAAAGATTCCTGGATTGGAAGGGGTGAGAGCCCACAGCCCAGGCCTCCATTGGCAAAAAAAACCGGCCTTAAGACCTGGCGCCACAGCAAGGAAGCAAAACTGAGATGGCCCGGCTTCTCTCCAGGGACGGCTGATTTACAAGATGAGGCCTTGGGACCTTTTTGCCTTCTGGGAAGAAAAGGTTCACCGCAAGCTCTGGCCGAAAAAAAAGCCCAGCTGCTGTGCTGGGTGATTTTGGTTAGAAGCAAGAAAGACAGGGTGGTACCCTTGCATCGCAAAGTCCAATAGCACGGGCCGTGCTTAGCTTTTCCGGTGATCAGGGCGGCGGCGCTTAGTTTGCTCAGTGCGCCGGACCGTTGCAGGGTGATGTCCACTTGCGAGCGCCGCTCTCGCTGGCGCGGCCTTGAGGCCCCGTTTCTGTGGCTTCCCTTCACTTTAGGGCTGTTCAGGGGCCCTCACTTGCACCAACCAATGTTCCAACGGGCTGCCTCCACCGTCCTTGCAAACCCTGGTCCCTTGGCCCTAGGGCCTCACAACCAGCAGGGCGCTTCAGCTCCAGTTTTGGGAGACCCAGCCCGCACACCACGGCGACAGGGGCGAGCTGCCCCGGTGCCGTTTTGTCCCAGCGGCGTTGCTTTTGCTTTATGTGAGTCCGGGCCTTGGGGAACGTACGCGTTTCTTACAATTTACAAAAGCGCAAGTGGTAAACTGAGAAGTCGCCAGGCACGTCCAGAACTGGAACGTGGGGAAGAACATCAAAAAGGAGGCTTGTTCCTCTGTTTCCCTTGTCTCTAAAGAACTTACAGAGGGCCCAGAGCTTTTCGGCATGCTGTATTTAATGGCTTTGACTCAATACAAAACCGGGAGTGTGCTGGGTTCAAACTCTTTTGGCTTTGTTGACGTAAGCGGTGCGAATGGTTGAATTTCTAGGCCAGTGGGCGGCTCGGGGCCACCCGTGCGTTTGGAACTGTCAAGGTTCTGGCTGGCGGAGTGCCTGAAGCGCAGCTCACGGAAAACGGAGGCCGAAGGCCACGGGGTGCTCTTGAAAAAGCGGAGAATTCTGGGAGAGATGCCTCGGAGCTCTAGTTCCTTGACCGCGGCTCGGACTTTGCAAACGGGTCGGGGGCGCAGGAGGCAAGCAGCTTGGCCGGAACAAGCGCACTGCTTGGCACTTGGCACTCGAGCCCGGGCTCACACCGGATCTTTCAGTAGCCCGAGGAAATGCAGATTCAGGTGAAGCGAGAATCCCCTGTCTTTTTATTTTTATTTATTTTTGGGACAGAATTTTTTTGTTGCCAGGCTGAAGAAAGGAACGTTCTGTGTGCTCACGCTACCTTTACACGGGGGCACCAACTTCCGGGCTCCAAAGGCGATCTTCCGTTGCCGGTCTAAGCTTCCCGGTGGCTGGAATACAAGGCATAGACACTTTAACTGGCTAATTTATTGTATATATTTCAGGTTGGCCAACAGTTATTTTGTTTTGATAAATTTTATAGTAGGAGAACGGGTTTCGTTTCTTGCTTTTCAGCTGGTTTCAAAAACTCTTAGACTCGAAAAGCAAATCCCGAGATGTTAGGATGTACGGCGTGAGCCCCTTGCCTTGGCCTTTTGTGTTTTTTAAAATCATGCAAACTTAATTTACTCTGGGATTAATTTCTTGGGGGTTATGGTGCCTTCAGCCTGTGATTTTTCTAACGCACTTCTGGAGGAGGGGCGGAGGCGGGGAGATCGCTTCCAGTCGCAAGGAGAGTTACGAAGATCATCCTTGGGGCCACGAGGCAAGCACCCCCCCCCCACACCAACACCCACACTATAATAGAAAGAAATTGAGCTGGGAACTAATAAGAACGTATAGAAAAAAATAAAGTAGTTTTACTCGGAGGCTGAGGCGAGAGTTGCTGGACCCCAAGGAGTCTTGAGTTGCTGGTGGAGCTAGGTGACGGCCACGGCACTCTTAGCCTTGGGCAAAACAGAGTGGAGACTTATCGTGTCTTCAAAAATTAATTTAATGATACCGGCAAAATCAGTTCAATCCACGGACAAAAAAAGGTAGGGTCTGGTTGTGCCACTTCTGATCCTAGAAAGATGGAAAGCGTCGGTCCAGGTCCGAAGGGCCTTTCAAGGAGGAGAGGAGGACAGCAGCAAATTCAGCCTCCAGCAGAGGGCAAAGATGC